ATCTTATACCTCGGTCCGACTGTACCTATACGACCACCCTTCGGGTGATAAGGAGGTTCGGGGGGGGGGAGGAACCAACGTCTCACTCGATCGGTCTCACTATCGATCTCACTATCGATCTCAGTATCGGTCTCGCTCGATCAATCTCTCTCGATCGATCTCACAATCGATCTCACTCGATCTATCTCACAATTGATCTGACTATCAATATCACAATCGATCTCAAAATCGATCTCACAATCGATATCACATTCGGTCTCACGATCAATCTCACTATCGATAACACAACCGCTCCCATAATCAACGTCATCATCATCATCCACAACAACATCAACATCAACATCATCATCACCAACATCATCATAATCGGGACACAGTCCTCATCATCAACACCAACATCATCATCACAGTCATCAACATCATCGGGACACCACCATCATCATCATCATCACCATCACCACAATCATCATCAACATCAGCATCATCATCACCATCGGGACACAGTCATCGTCATCATCATCATCAGCACCAGCATCATCATCGGGACACCATCATGATCACCATCGTTATCATCATCATCATGATCATCGGGGCACCATCATCATCATCTCATCTTCATCCTCGACTTCATCATCAGCATAATCAACATCATCATCATCATCATCAGCATCATCATCATCAGTGTCATCATCGGGGCACCATCATCATCATCATCATTACCAACATCAGCATCAACATCATCATCATCATCACCATCGGGACGCCATCATCATCAACATCATCATCATCATCACCATCATAATAATCATCATCATCGGGACGCCATAATGATCATCAACCTCATCATCATCAACATCATCATGTTTGGGACACAATCATATTCAGCATCATCAACATCAACATCATCATACTCATCATCATCGGGACACCATCATCGTCATCATCATGTTCATCAACAAAATCATCATGATCATCATCATCCTCATCATCGGGACACCATCAGCATCATCATCATCGTCATCATCATCATCGACATCATCATCATCATCATCATCATCATCATCATCATCGGGACACCATCATCATCATGTCATCTCATCATCATCGTCCTCTTCATCACCAACATCATCAGCATCACCATCATCATCATCATCATCGTCGTCATCATCATCAGCAGCATCATCATCATCAGCATCACGATCATCATCATCATCATCATCATCATCATCATCATCATCATCATCATCATCATCATCGCGGGACACCGCGGGACACCGGCGGGACACCGCGGGCCACCGGCCGCCCGGCCGCCCGGAAGGGAGTCATTTGGTCCGGCCGCGCCTCAGCCACACGGGACTTTCGCGGGACACCGGCGGGACACCGCGGGCCACCGGCCGCCCGGAAGGGAGTCATTTGGTCCGGCCGCGCCTCAGCCACAGGAGACTTTTTCTCGCCCGCCCACGCAACTTCGCCTCGCCCGCACGCACGGCACGCACGAACACGAAACCGAAATCGATTTCCCGGTAGGGGGGCTCTCCGTTCCACTTCGATCTCACCCCCTCACTTCCGACTGCACGCGGCCCCCAAAGTCCTGACCCTTTCCCCAAGACCGGTTTTTCATCCCGAGCCGTTTTTTGACTGTCCCGGGGCCTGGTGAGGGCCCCTAGAGGCCAAAACACACAGAACATCTGGGGGTACCCTCCCTAGGGTGCACAAGATAATCCAACAAGCACGAAAAAGTAGGGGGTACCCTCCCCGAACCGACCTCGATCTTACACCTCGATTCGACTGTACGCCACGTCGTCTGGTCGGCCGCGGAGCTCGGTGCATAGGTAGGCGCCCAAGCTTCCCGACCCGTCGTGGTGCGCCCGAGAGAGAGAGAGAGAGAGAGAGAGAGAGCGCCCATGCACCGAAGGCTCCTCCGCCGAGCTCCTTGGCTTCCTGGCCAACCACATGACGTGGTATAGGAGCCCCCATACAATCCCAAACCTCCGCGCGTTGTGACAAAATCACGACGGGAGGTTTTTCGCTATTTTCGTCGTCCAGGGACCCTCACCGGACCTCGAGACCGTCAAAACACGACTCAGGATGAAAAACCGGTCCCGGGAAAGGGGTCCAGAGCTCTGGGGGTCGACGTTGAGAAAAAATTCGACGTCGGGGGTCTTGTGTAGGAGCTCGACCACAAGAAACCTTCCACGAGAAACCCAGCGCTGAGACCCCAGGACGTCCATTGACCTTTGGTGAGGGCGCGTCACGCTTGCCATCCCCCAAAACCATCGGAACCCAAGGAACCCAGGGCACCCTGGAGGCAAGCAGAATGTTTCTTGGCATGGGTTCCCACTGCATCGGCGAAAAATGGTGGGGTCGATGAATTCCCACCTGACTCTACAATCAGGAACTTTTGCTCAGCGTGTCGCGGCGGCGGCCCTGGCGATGTCCCTTGCAAGCGGGTAGCGTGTCGCTCCGCTCCGAGGGGCGAGAGGCTTCGAAAGGCTCGGGACCGTCGGGGACCAAGACGTGGTTGGCGTGTCGCGCCGAGAAGCGATGGGCCAGAACTAGCGGCCCGACACTAAACAAACGCTGCCGACCGCAACCTCGCCATCGCTCGGACGTCCACTCCCGTGCATGTTTCGATGTCGTGTATTTGTTGCTGTGAGATGATCCAGGATGCTCCTCGATGGTCCTCGTCGAGAACCTATGAACGACGACAAACAAGAAAAAGGGTCTTACGCGAGATTGCGTAGCGATCTTACGCCGAGGCTTACGCGGGCCGCCGGCGCGGCACGTGACATCGAAAACGAGGGCGCTCATGAGCGACCTCACGCAGGACTCTTACTCTCCAATGTCGGTGAAAACCACCCCGTTTTCTGCGTCGCGCAGATGCACTAGTCCGAGCTATGCCGACCGTGCAGCTGGACCTAGGACAGAATAATATCCTTCCAGAATAGGTGACCCTCCACTGGCCAAACTGACGTTCATTTGATGGTGCCCTCCCTCCCCCAGGATGCAACTGAACATCCAACAAACACAAAGAGCCTTAGGGTAACCTCCACGAGCCGACCCCGATCTTATACCTCGGTCCGACTCTGCGCGGTCCCCAGAAGTCCTGACCCTTTGCCCGGACCGGCTTTCCATCCCGTTTCTTGACGGTCCCGCGGGGCCCAGCGAGGGCCCCCAGAAGCCGAGCATAGCGAAAACCCTCCAGTCGTGAGTTTTTTTTTCTACGGCGCGAGCACGCCTGGGCCTGTAGCGTTGACCCCCCAGGGGAAGGAGCCGAACTCTATACACCGACGCTTCATTCTGGCCACGCACTGGAAGTCGCACAGGGAAGCGGATCCTGGTGTCTATGGGCTCCTGGTGTATACGTTCGTCGATGTTGCCCCCGGGAGAGCGGGGACAAAAAATGTACACCACACCACCCCGCCGTCGCCCCCGACCGTGAAAAAATCCTGGGATTGAGGAAAAGCTCGCCACTGGTGGATGTAGGAGGAGGAGGGGGAGGAGGAGGAGGAGGGATGATCAGGAGGAGGAGGAGGAGAAGGAGGAGGAGGAGGAGGAGGAGGGAGGAGGAGGAGGAACGGACGGGGAGGGGAGGAGGAGGAGGGGGGAGGGGGAGGAGGGAGGAGGGAGAGGAGGAGGAGGAGGAGGAGGAGGAGAGGAGGAGGAGGAGGAGGACTGCAGACGCTCCCGCTTCCGACGGGGAGCCGCTGCCCAGCTTCCTGCCCAGGCAGTAGATGCCGCCCAGCCTGCCGCCGATGGTCAGGGGGAGCTTGTCGCCGGCCTCGTCTCTTAAGCGCAGAGCCCCACGGGGCGCGGCAGGACGGGGAGCAGCATGAGAGCAAAGAGCCGCGGGAGGAGTAGCAGAGAGCATGACCCAGACCTTCTCCTCCTCCTCCTCCTCCTCCTCCCTCCTCCTCCTCCTCCTCCTCCTCCCCTTTCCCCCCTCCTCCTCCTCCTCCTCCTCCTCCTGCTCCTGCTCTTCCTCCTCCTCCTTCTCCACCACCCCCTCCTCCTCCTCCTCCTCCTCCTCCTTCTTCCTCCTGCGCACAACCTGAGGCGCCACAGAGTCTATGACACCACAGCCGTCAGTTGGCGTGGCTGAGGGCGCACCTTACAACCGCCCTCAGCCACGCGCTTCGGACAGGGCCCGCATGGGCCACGCTCCTGCCGCGAGGCTACACCTCGGGCAGAGGGGACTGCGCACGGCCAGACCGCCAGCGCGCACGGAAGGGCAGTGCGGGACCAGCAGAAAGTGGGTCACAGCACGAGCCCGTCAAAAGAAAGAAAAGATGGGGGAGGGCGGGCCGAGGGCCACGGGGCGATCTCCCTTACTGGGAGGATCCCCTATGGCCAACGACCTGCCCCCCAGAGCGCGACCCCACGGTGGGGTCGGGCTGTTCCTGACCATGAACATCGAGAGCATCGGGCAAAACGTTAGGAGGAGGACGAGGGCGGCCACTGGCAGCTGCCAGCAGCCGCTGAACAATAGCAGCACGCTCTGCATCCGTGCGCTGCGTGCGCTGCTTGCGCGCAGGCACAGCGGTGACCGAAACATCTCCTCCGCCCCCGCTCAACGACGTCGACGGCGCGACACCTCCTTCCTCCGCGTGAGCGCCAGCACTGCCAGCAGACCGCTGGGGCGCCCCCGAGGGGTGGGCCTGCCCAGCGCTGGCCACGCCTGCCTCCAGCTGGGGTGCTGCCGAGGCGCTAGCCACCGTAGCAGGCTCAGAGAGACTTTCCCCTCCTCCACCGCTAGCCAACGACGACACGTCAAGGCCTCCTTCCTCCGAGATGGCGCCAGCATCCGCACCAAACGGGTGGGATGCCCCCGAAGGTTGGGCCGAGACATCAGTAGCAGCGCTGTCGTCGCCAGCCTCCAGCTGGGCGGCGTGAAGAGAAACGGCCGCAGCGGCCTCTGCGAGCGGCGCCTGCGCTGCGACCCGAAACACCTTGGCACTGAGGCGAAACTCCCTTTGCCGAGCCGCTTGAGCACCTTCAGGGCATGATCGGGCCACAGGCGGGCACGGCTGGCTGAGAGCTGCAACGCGAGAAACCGCAAAGCTGCCACAACGCGCGCAGCCCACAACAGTGGGACCTTCACACAGTGCAATACGAACTAGGTCATGCTTGCGCGCTCCATCCCCTAGCTGCCTCTGCGCTGCCAGCACGCGAGATGCAATATCGGATGGGACGGGATTGCGCACAACGAAGAGCCGAGGGAGACGCGGCTTGCCACGATTGTGCCGCTTGGGGTGGCCACAATCTTCAAGCCCGTCGCTGAGTCGGCCAATCCAGTCTCCCCAGGTCTTGACAACCTTGGAGCGAGCCTGCAGCTGCGCACGGCTCTGCCGCGGTACTCGCGCAAAGGCAGCAGCGCTCTTTGCAGCGCGGTCTGCCATCATATTGCCAAACCTGTGGCGCGCCGTGGCGCGCCCGTGCTGGATGTCACCTACGGCCGCATGACCTTTGACCTTCGAGAGCTCGAAAACCGCCCCCCCCCCCCCCCCCCCCCACAGTCATCCACCAAACGCCAGAACGCCCGCCAGAGGTGAGCATGCGCGGCAACACAGGCAGTAGTGGCCACGCGGCCACGCTCGCGGAAGCCATCCACGACAAAGGCTGAATCCGAAAACATGCGCACTGGCGGCGCCGCAAAGCGCAGCACATGAATGACTGCGATGAGTTCGGCAGCACTAATGCACTGCAAGGGGTCGAGCACGGGGCCAGAGCAAAAATAAACAACCTGAAGGCAATCGGGGTGAAGCGCCACGCACCCCCAGCCCGCACTCGCGAGGCTGGGATACTCAGCTTCAAAAACCGATCCATCAGGGTAGATATCCCCCGTGAAGCTGTCAGGCCCTCCAAGCCCCCAGCACGCGGATCGCCCAGGCGGCGGCCTGACGAGTGCAGGAAACGGGACCAGACAGCGCCCAGCAAAGACGAGGGCTAGCGGCGACTGCGCCGCCCGCACTGCATTGACACGAGACGCAGGAGCGCCCTCGAGGCTGTCGAGGCGCACGCAAGAGCAGTGCCTGCGCAGCAGCGTGCCCTCGGCGTGGGGGCAGAGGAGGCAAGTAGGCGTGGCATCGTATCCTTCGGCCCACTGACGCTTCTGGGGCCACTGTCCCCCAACCACGGTGCTGCGCAGGTGGCCCCCCTGCGGTGCCGTGAGCTTACTCTTGGTGCTGAGCAGGGCCTTCAGGGGGCTGAGTATGACACCGTTGCAAAACTCAGGGGGGTCCAAGTGGTCAGCAACCTTGGCGAACTGCCAACACTCGACGGCACGGTACACGAGCTCCTGGATCGTAACAGGGCAGAAGCCCATGGGATTGATGACGGCCCCATCGGGCCAAGTCCAGGAAGTAGCCGAGGCAGCCGTAACCCCGACGCGTTTGAGGGTTGCCCACACAGCACTGAACGGGCCCCTAATGGAAGACCAAGGGTGCTCAATAATCGAAAGCCGATCGTGGGCCTCACGGAGGCCGAAGTCCAGGGCGTCCCTAGGAAGCCAGGAGTGCCACAGAGCGTGGATGAAGGCTTTCACGGGCAGCCACGTAGCCCTAAACATGGGGTCCAAACGGTGCACATGGGGACAACAACAGGGTCAGGGTGCGAGATTTACCATCCATACGATGGTCTTGCAGTTTACCAGCAGCACCTCTAAGAACCTCTAACTCCTGCCCGTTGGTGCCCACCACGGCGGACCCATGCAACACGGAGGACTCCAGAGCACTTCGAGCCATGCGTCCAAGCAAGCGGCGACGAGGTTTGGAGCCTTTGAGGATCGACATGCGCTGCCGCCTCCTGCCCATGGCCTTGGCACGGGAGGCGGACGTAGCCTTGCCCCCTCCAGCGAGCCCAGAGGAAAGGTCAACACCAAAGTTCTCTCAGCTCTAACGGGCAGGGGTTGGAGGCTACGGAGCTTCGAAGCGATCGAGGCTCTAACGGCAGGCGAGTTCCCAAGCACTCGGGACTTGTCGACAGCAATCCTAAGGTCGGCGGCCTTGAGCTCACTGCGGAGCTTCTTACCCGCACCAACGATGTCTTGCACCACTCTCGACTCCGTGCCCCATCTCATGAGGCCAAAGTCGCCCACATTGACCGACAGCTGGATCGTCGGGAAGGAAGCCTGAACAGCGTCGAGAGGGCCTAGCAGCACCAATTGAAGCATACAATTGGCAAATGTACAACCTGGCACTACGGTCTGCTCAACATCCAGCAGCGAACCAACCTCGCCAGCCACATCAAGCAGCCTAGGAGCCCGATAAATCTGAACCAGGAGGTACAATTGCCACAAAGGAAAGCTGGTGGCCTGCGCAGCCGAGATGAGATGTCGGTGCTGAGCCAGCTCGAAAGCCTTCTTTAACTCCAAAAGCAAAGTGGCACAGCTACGATTTTTGAACGTCGAATGTTCGGACCAGGCAGCTTGAATCCAAACACAACGCTCCGAAGACTTCCCATGGGTGCCCCAAAAGAAGGCACGATAATTTCTTTCCTGCCACTGCCTGATGAGAGGACGTCTCAGGCGACATTGAACACGAGCCATCACATGGAGCAGCCCAAGCGGTCTCAGACCCCCCACCCGTTTGAGAATGATCACAATGCGGTTCCACATGACAGGCCACTCACTCTTGTGCTCAATGTGCGAGATAATCTCACACAAGCCTTCCAGCGCAGAGGGCGGCAGAAGCAAAAGGGAACGGGGCGAGACTTGATCAAAACCAGTGCCAGTAGATAGAGGACTTGAAGCTTTTGAGAGCCCGCGCGAGCTCATCAACACTGGGACGCTCAGGCGGCGCGCCCAGGTCAGGCCACTCGAGGGGGGGCTCAACGTGCCCCACGGACCACCACTTTTTCCACTCGGCCTCCAGGGCCTCGACCGACTCGACCGACGAGCAGGGGCGAAGGGTGGAGTGATCAAGGGCATCGGGCTGCCAACCGATAGGGAGGGAGGAAAACTTGAACAAAGCCGACATCCCCCCTGAGGAATGTTTGTCGACCCATTGATTCCATTCCCTGTCCTTGTCGTGCGCCGACTGTGCCTGAAGTCTCTTGGCTTCGACGTCCGCCAGCTCTGCCGGCGCCTTGGCCGAGAGCAGCGGCAGCAGGTCCGCCCGGCGCAACGCTGCCGCCCAGGCGGCATAGACGGCACTGCTAGGGGGCCGGTGAAAACCTGAAAGCCGAAAGGCTGCCGAGACGAGCTGCCGCCTGTGGGTGCCCGCAGGATCTCGCGCGAGATCGGACAAAAGGACGCTGACCTGGCGCCGCCAACGCGCGGGCGGGGAGAGCTTCGGAAACCTAGGAGGCCCAGGGCAAGGGGGCTTCTTAGAAGAGATCTTCAAAGGCAGGTCTCTTCCGACATACCCATCAGCAAGCTCTCCCGACATCTGAAAGACATAGAGCCACTCGGCCTCCGCCGCACGAAGGAAGCTGTTCCATTTGTCTTGCACAGAGGCGGGAGGATCAGAACAAAGCGCGGCCACGGGCTCCCACCTACCCTCGACGGGGGGCCCCAGACAACTAATGGGGCGCTCAAGAGGGAACCGCTTGGGCACCTCAACGAACTTGACATCAGCTATAGGCTCAATACGGGGAAAGACGAGCCTAACAGGGTAATGGGGGGAAATGGGGATGTCTTGAACAATGTCCGCCCTGGCCGCACCTGCAATGACCCTCGAGACGACGAAAAAGTCGACGCAACTCATGGCTGGGCGGCACGTGCCGCCAGCGGGAGCAACAACGACTGCATCCATGGCATCAACCCACCCAGTCTGCTGAAGATCAGTGTGATGTATATTCCAATCGCCACCAACCACGAAAGCTGTGCCAGCTGCCTTGAGGGTCCTGCCGACGCGGCGCAAGATGTCCCAGTTGACCTCATTCACCCCGACGGAATGCACCAAATAGAGGTTCGCAACCAGGAATCCACCGCGAATCATCCCTCCCACATGGTGAAGACTGGCACGCGCAGGCTGCAGCACAGGCGAGACACTCTCGAGCACTCCAAGACCAATCCCCTTGGGCGTGGCCGTGATCAGCCCGCCAGCGGGGTTGCCGAGCGTGGGCAGTGCAGCCGTGATAGAGGCAGACCAGCTAATCTGACGGAGGCGCGCCTCAGTCGGCTCCACCGACGAGACAGGGATCCTGGTCTTCTGCACGAGGAGAACGTCACAAGCAATGCACTCACCCAAGTAAGCGTCTAGCCCGATCTGTCCTCCAACATTGGCGGTGATCAGGGTCCACTCCTCGGCATGGCCAGCGCTAGGATTTGGACGGGGGCCTGCTGGACGCGCCGTCTCCCTCACTGAAGGGAGTGAGCCGAAACTTCTTCTGCGCAGCGGAGTTGATACCCCCAAGCATGTTTTCCGCATGCTTGCGCGGAATCTTGTGCTGAGCAAGGAAGGCATTGAAACCTTGCTCAGTGGATAGCTTCTTGAGAAATCCTGAGAGCACGCGAGCTGCGGGCGGCGGGCCTGCACAGGCCGCTGCTGCCCCAGTCCCATCCCGCCCCCGTCCCACGTCCAAACCCGTCCCCCCTCCACTAAGCGAGGCAACAGGCGAGGCTCCAGGCGCAAACGGGGACTCAGATGGCGGTCGACCGAAGACTGCCAGCGCAGCAGCCTCCACATCACGAGCGTTGGCTGGAGCGGGTTCAGCACGCGGTTCTCCAGGCGGAGCGTCCTCCATGGCACCACCGTCGCCACTGAGGTCGCCCAGGTCGTCGGTCTCGTAGCCGCCATCGGTGGCTGCCTCGTCATCAGGATGAGCAGGAGGCAGAAGCGAATCACGCGTCTCCAACAACGAGCGGAGCGAGCGTGCCAAATCCGCGTCCAAAGACTGGAACTGCATGAGCAACGCGAAGGCGGGGTCGTCGGCCGACACCGCTGCGCCAGAGGCATCGACCACTCCCGCACCACCTGCAGCACACTGTGCCCATGCCGCCGAGGCCTTGGCGGAGGCGACGCGCTCCTGGCCCACAAGCGACGTGAGTTTGTCCTTGAGCTTGACGAGCTCCAGAACCTTGCTCTGCATATCAGACTCGACCTTCTGAATCTGCTTTGATACGTGGCCGATCTGCTTCTTGAGATCGCCCAGCGCAGACTGCGCATGACGCTGAACAGCACGAGGGTCGCCAGCAGCGAGAGCACGCTGAGCCACGACTCTGGCGCGCTGGGAAGGCGAGAGAAGCCCTTTGCACACCTCAAAGTCGTCGTTGGACATGCGCACGATCTTCTCAAGCTGCGCAGGCTCCAGATGCTTGTGCTTGGGCCGTGCAACGGCTGAGCGAGGCGGCCCGTTCGCCCAGACACCATGCGGCCCGCGCTGCTGCTGCACAGGAGTAGGCGCAAGAGGGCGTGCAGTGCCACACTTGTAGCAGTGCTGCTTCCACGAGAAGTTCGTCTTGAAACCACACTTCTTCTTCGGACAACACCACACCTCATTGCGAGCACTGCGCTCACCCATGAATGTGACGCTGGATATGAAAGAATCTGCAAGGCCTGGGCAGGCTCGAGCAGGAGACCGCGCAAAACTCAATAGCTCACTGTAAGCCACCTCGAGAAATGGTCTACTTGAGCCAAAATGGCTTGAACCAAAATGGCTACGGATCTCCTCCTCTTCCTCATCCTCCGCCTCCTCCTCCTCCTCCTCCTCCTCCCTCCTCCCCCTCCTCCTCCCCCTCCCCCTCCTCCTCCTCCTCCTCCTTCTCCTCCTCCTCCTCCCCAGACGTGCTCGCATCGAAACAAATATCAAGACGGGAGGTTGCTGGCCGTTTTCTGGCCCCTGGGAGCCCTCGCTGGTCCTCGGCACCCCGTCAAACAACGGCTCGGGAAGAAAAGCCGATCCCAGGGAAAAGGTCGGGATTTCCAGGGGGCCCGTCTTGAAAACATCAGGACGTCGCATGTCTGGGGACGTCCCCTCTAAGAGGGTCGATGCAGGAGCTGTATCTTGCATTGGCGCATGTCTCCCCGCCCGCGCGCGTTCCAAGCTGCTCGGAAACGAAACGAAGAAGCCCAAATCTCCGACGATGTGGCTTCTTGCGGCGTCTTTCCCTCGACCTCGGCCTCCAGAGCCGGTGAGCGGCCCCCGGGGCCGTCAAACATGTATCGGGGGCGTCCAAGCGGGGGGCGTCTAAGAGGGGGGGTCGCAAATCTTAGCCGAGGCTTGTGCGAGGCAAGGGGGCGTGCTGAAAGAAGACGAGGCGTCATGACATCTGGAGAGACATCATGGCCCCCGCCATGAAAGCCCCCGTCTCCCCCCAGAGTCCCCCCCCCTTTGGCCGCCCCCGACTGGACTGGGGACCAAACGGCTGCGCCCAGTGCCCCAGGGGAGGGGATCGGGACATCCAGGGCCGGGCCGGACCCAGACGTGACGTCTTGGTTTATTTCGATACGGGGGTCCCGACCCTTTCCTCGTCTTGAGCCGTCTTGTGACGGTCCCGGGGCCCAGCGGGGGCCCTCCGAGGCCGAAAGCGACCAAAAACCTCCCCGTCCAGATTTTTTGTTTCACGACGCGAGCATGTCTCGGGACGCGCAAGAGGGGGGGGGGGGGGGGCGGCCCCACAGCAAG